GGCGTCAGATCCCCTGGAACTGGAGTTATGGACAGTTGTTAGTCACTATGTGGGTGTTGGGACCTGAACCTAGGTCTCTGCAAGAGCAGCCAGTGCTTTTAACAGCTAAGTCATCTCTCCAGCCCCCAAGTTCAGTTTCTAGCACCTCATCAGTTGGCTCATAACCACCTGTAACTCCAATTCCAAAGATTCTGATGCCTTCTTCTGGCCTCCACAGGAACCTGCATGTACAAGGTACACAGACACATACACATTCACATAAAATCAAAAAGTAAATCCCTCATCAGAGAAGCTTCTTTTTGCAGTAAATACTGATTAACACAGAGACCTGTAGAGAATAACATGTAGAAAATAAGAGACTTGGAGTGGTTAACCCTAAATAGGACATCTATATCACACTCCCTCTTCCTGAAGCTCAGGAATCTTCAAGGAAGAGGGGATGGAAAGAGTGTAAGAGCCAGAGGTAGTAGATGATTACAACTAAACAGTGTTTTCTGGATACAACAGGGCACATATGAACTCACAGCAGTTGTGATGGCATATACAAAACCTGCATGAACTCAGACCAGACAAAATCCCAGCATGGAGGAGGAAGTGATCATGATGTCCAAACCCTAGGTGAGGATCTATTGGCAATGGATGCTTTTTGAGGGAGGGAGAATCAATTTTCTTCAGGGATGGAGGACATGAGAAGCCCCCTATGCTCCAATAGATGGTTCTATACCCATGCACACACAGACAGTACTAAGTGGACTCTAGGACAAAAAACACACATTAAAATTGGGAGGGAAATATGGTGAGGTGGGGGGAGATAAGGGAGGAATTGTAGGGGAGGGAATGAGGGTGGGGTGGGTCAGATTAAAGCACACTTTATGATTGGGTGTGGTGGTGCATGACTTTAATCCCAGCACTTGGGAGGCAGAGGCAGGCAGATCTCTGTGAGTTCAAGGCCAGCCTGGTCTACATAGTGAGTTCCAGGACAGCTGGGGCTATAGGGAGACCCTGTCTCAAAAAGACAAAAACAAAAGAGACAAAAAACAAGCAAACAAAAAAAGCCCCACACTTTAGGCATGTATGAAATTCTCAAACAAAAAAACTACAAAAATAAAATAAAAATAATACAAATAAACCTTTAAAAAGAAAATCAGTTGGATAAGGCAGTATAAGGCTGTAGTGACAGCATTTAGTTAAGCTGAAGCAGGCGGATGGGGAATTTAAGGCCAGCCTGGGCTACAAAGCAAGACGCTGTCTCAAAAAAATCAAGACCAAAGTCAAACAAAAAAATGAAAAGACAGGGCCAGTGAGATGGCTCAGTGGGTAAGGGTGCTTGCTGCCAGGCTTGAAGACCCGAGTCCAATCCCCAGGATTCACAAGTCAGAAGGAGAGAACCAAGTCACTCAATTTATCCTCTGACTTCTATACATGTACTGTGACATGTTCCATCCCACTTCCCAAAAAATAAATGTAATTTTTTAAAAAGAAAGAAAAGGGGAGGCTGGAGAGATGGGTCAGTGTTTAACAGCACTGACTGCTCTTGCAGAGGACCTGGTTTGATTCCCAGTGCTCACATGGCTGCTAACAACCATCCATCACTCCAGTTCCAGGGGAATTTAATGCCCTCTTCTGACCTCCGTGGGCATTGCACTTACATACATGCAGACAATACACTCACACACAAAAAAAAATTAAAAAAAAAAATGGGGCTGGAGAGATGGCTCAGTGGTTAAGAACACTGACTATTCTTGTAGGTTTGAATCCAAGCACCCACATGGCAGTCAACAACTGTCTGTAACTCCAGTTCCAGAGGATCCAACAGTCTCTTCTGTCCTCCGCAGGCATTACATGACACGGTGCACTTATGTACATGAAGGCAATACACACATACACATTAAAAAAAAAGAAGAAATGTGGGGTTTTTTTTTTTTTGGTCTTTTTGAGACATGGTCTCCCTGTAGCCCCAGCTGTCCTGGAACTCACTATGTAGACCAGGCTGGCCTTGAACTCAGAGATCTGCCTGCCTCTGCCTCCTGGGTGCTGGGATTAAAGGCATGCACCACCATGCCCGGCTTATATTTTATTATTTTTTAGAAAAACATTTATTATTAAAAACATTTATTATTAGCTTATATTTTATTATTATTATTATTTTTTTGGTCTTTTTGAGGCAGGGTCTCCCTGTAGCCCCAGCTGTCCTGGATTCACCATGGAGATCAGGCTGGCCTTGAACTCACAGAGATCCACCTGCATCTGCCTCCCAAGTGCTGAGATTAAAGGCATGCATCACCACGCCCAGCCTATTTTACTATTTTTTAGAAAACACTTATTATTTAAAAAACATTTATTATTAGCTCCCAGCATTTGGGAGGCAGAGGCAGGTGGATCTCTGTCACTGCAAAGTCAGCCTGGTCTACATAGTGATTTCCAGGCCAGCTGGGGCTACAGGAGTACCCCGTCACAAAGGCAAAAACAAAAACAAAAACAACAACAATAAAAAACCCCAATGATGAACAAAAGAAGATGGGCTGGAGGTACAGCTCCATGGTAGAGTGTGCTTAGCATGTACAAGAAACCGGAAGAGGGAAAGAGGAAAAGGAGAGAAGATGGAAAAAGAAATATGAACTCTGACTAGAGGCTTTAAGGAACAAAATGTGAACTGCAGACCTTGGTTGAATACTGATTTGAACAAAGAAAAAGAATTTGTGACATAAGTGGAAGAGAGATAAGTAATTCAATAACTAGATGTTGTTAAGGGTTTAATGTTGCTTTTGTTGGGTGTGATATTATTATGGTTGTTTTTAAAAAGCTCTTATCTGTTGGATATGGTGCCACAAGCCTGTAATCTTATTTTATGAGGTTTGAGACAGGAGGATGCTGAGTTCTAGGCCAGTTACATAGGGAGATCTTGTCCAAAAACAAACAAAAGAAAATTAAAAAAAACAAACAAAAAGAAAATCTGTATCTGAAAGAGATACATCATGAAGGGCTTGTGAGTCAAATGGTAGGTCTTCAACTTGCTCTAAAATGCTTAAAAAGAGTATGGAGGGCTGGTGAGATGGTTCAGTGGGTATAGGTATTACATACACACTTACAAATATAAACACACAAGAATAAATAAATGTAAATTTAAAAGTATATGGATGGCTGGGCATGGTAGTGCAGGCCGTTAGTCCCAGCACTTGGGAGGCAGAGGCAGGTGGATCTCTGTGAGTTCAATGGCAACCTGGTCTACATAGCAAGTTCCAGGTCAGCTGAGGCTACAGTGAGACCCTGTCTCAAAAAGATGAAAAAAAAAAAGTACATGGATGATTGGGGCTGGAGAGATGGCTCAGTGGTTAAGAGCACTAACTGCTCTTACAGAGGACCCAGGTTCAATTCCCAGCACCCACATGGTGGCTAAGAACTGTCCATAACTCCATTTCCAGGGGATCCAACACCTCCCTCTGACCTCCTCGGACACTGCATGGTATGGGGGCACTTATACAAATGCAGGTAATATACAAATAAAAATAATAAAATATATATTTTTTAAAGTGTATGGAAGATAAAGATAAAATAGAAAATGGTGTTTGGAAGCTGTTGAAGGTGACCAATTGTATTATATATAATTGCAACATATATGTATTTGATATTGAGGATTGAACATAGAGCCCCATACATGCTAGGTGGTATTCTACCATTGAACTACAACCCCAGCCCTTGTGTGCGCTTGAAATTTTATGTGTTTTAAAAAATTATTCAAGAATCTGGGTGCAGGGTGTAGCTCAGTAGTAGAGCACTTGCTACATAAGGTAGATTCCAGCGACAGCAGCACAAAAACAAAACCCACAAAACACCAAGAGTTGATATTTAGATGCCCTGGACAATTAGAAGGAAACAGAAACAGTTTGGATGCAGTGACTGTTTTTTTGTTTTGTTTTGCCATACTTTCCAGCCCCAGAGAGTATTTTTTTTCTCTTTAAAGCAAGCATGCTGCTGCTTCTCCTTCGAAGATATAAAAAAACTTTCATCCTAACAGAAAAGTTACTTCCCAGTGATTTCTGAATCCCAACCTCAGTGCCATAATTAGACTCTATCATATAGTCACAAGAAAAGAGAATGTGGGCCAGAGAGATAACTCAGTCAGTAAAGTGCCTTTTGTATAAGCATGAGGACCTAAATTTGATACCCAGAATCCATATAAAAAACCAGATGTGAAAGCAAGCACTTGTAATCCCAGTAGTGGGGAGGTAGAGACAGGTAGATCTTTGGGGCTCACTGAACAGACATACTAGCCTAATCATCAAGCCTCAGGTCTCAGCGTTTGTTTTGTTTTAGACCCAGCTGGCCAGGAACTTGCTATGTAGACCAGGCTGGCCTTAATCTCACAGAAATTTGCCTCCCTCTGCCTAGGACTAGAAGGCGTGCACCACCATGCCTGGCTACAATTTTTTTTTTCTGTATTTTTGACACAGGGTCTCCCTGTAGCCCCAGTGGGCCTAGAACTCACTATGTAGACTAGGCTGGTCTCTAACTCAACAGATATCTGCCTGCCTCTGCCCCCCAAGTGCTGAGATTAAAGGCATGTGCCACCACACCTGGCACAATTCTTTAAAAAAAGTTTTTTATTTTGTGTTTTGCCTGCATGTATATATGCATCACATGCATACAGTGCCCACAGAAGCCAGAAGAGGGGGTTGGATCCCTTTCAGTTGGAGTTCTAGACAGTTGTGAGCTGCCATCCTGGTGTTAGGAACCAAGTACAGATCCTCTACAAGAACAGCAAGTGCTCATAACCTCTGAGTCATCTCTCTAGTTCTCACAAATAAATTTTTTTTTTGTCTTTTTGAGACAGGGTCTCCTTGTAGCCCCAGCTGTCCTGGAACTCACTATGTAGACCAGGCTAGCCTTGAACTCACAGAGATCCACCTGCCTCTTCCTCCTGACTGCTGGGATTAAAGGCGTGCACCACCACGCCCGGCCACAAATAAAATTTTAAAACAGTAAAACAAAAATGAACGCACACTTCTGTTGAGATTCTCACAGCTGATGGGCAGCAGTGTGCTCAGCTCCAGATCAGTGACCATCTGCCGAGACTCAGCCAGCAGGCGCTGAAGCTTGCTGGTGGGTGAAAAGTCATCCTGCACAGACAATGAAGTTAAAGCATTCATGAATGAAGAACATTTTAAAGTGTTTGGGTTCACAACTATAACTTCCAGATACAAATGCTAATGCCCTGCCAATACTGGACTTTGGGTATTACAAAGCAAAGAAAGATATCAAATACATAATAAAATAACCAAATTCCTTTATTTAGAACCTACTCAGTGAAATAATACAACATAAACAGAACTTACCACAACTAATTAGAAGAACAGACCAGGCATTGTTTAGCTTTCCCAAATAAAAATTTCAAGTCTTAATAGGTCAAGGTACTGACAAAACAGGACTTTGACAATAAAGGTATACAGGCTTTTTAGAATATTTGGATATGGGACTGGAGAGCTGTCTCAATGGTTAAGAGCCCTGGCTGTTCTTGCAGAGGACCCAGGTTCAAATCCCAGCACCTACATGGCAGCTGACAACCGTCTGTAACTCCAGTTCCAGGGGATTCAACACTGTCTTCTGACCTCCACTGGCATTGCATGATACAAGTACATTTACACACATGCAGGCATAACACTCAATAAAAAGAGCAGCTGGGCATGGTGGCGGACAGCTGGGGCTACAGGGAGACCCTGTCTCAAAAAGACCAAAAAAAAAAGGTTTGGATATGAGCGTTAGTTTAATCTTGCTAATTTTTAATTTGGGGATCTATGAGAGAGTAGTTCAGTGGCAAACTGCTTGCCTAGCTAATGCATGAGGACCTGGGTTTGAGTCCTAGCTTCACAAAATAATAAAGAAGTAAGAGGGTTGGTTGGGTATGGTGGCACATGCCCCAGCACTTGGGAGGCAGAGGCAGAGGAGCTCTGTGAGTTCACAGGGAGAACCTTTCTTAAAAAGCCCAAACCCAAACCAAACCAAAATGAACAAAAAAAAAAAAAAAAAAAATAGGGGGGTTGGCTTAGCTGGTAAAGATGCCTGTCATCAAGCCTGATGACCTGAGTTCAGTTCCCAGGATCCACATGGTGGAAGGAAAGAACTGATTCCTGCACATTGTGCTCTGAGCTCCACAGGTAGCTCACACTTAACCTCCAAAACAAAGAAGCCACCTAATAATAATAATAATAATAATAATAATAATAAATTTGAAAATGTTAAAAAAATAAAAACATACTGACCATTAATGTTTATTATGGACTTTATGTGGTATAAGCACATGGTATAATCAAATGTATAGGGGCTGGAGAAGATAGCTCAGCAGTTAAGAGCACTGGCTGCTCTTGCAAAGGACTTGGGCTCAGTTCCTAGCATCCACACAGTGACTAACAACCATCTATAACTCTAGTTCTGATACCCTCCTGACATCTGTGAACATTGAACACAAGTGTGAATTTACATACATGCAGGCAAAACACTTGTACACATAAAATATAAACAAATACATTAAAACAAAACAAATGTGGGCTGGAGAGATGGCTCAGCAGTTAAGAGCACTGGCTGCTCTTGCAGCAGACCTGGGTTCAGTTCCCAGCACCCACATGGTGGCTAACAACCACCCGTAACTCCAGTTCCAGGGGATCTGAAGCCCTCTTCTAACCTCTGTGGGCATTGCACAACACGAGTGCACTTATATACATGCAGGCAATATACTCATACACATAAAAATAATAAACAAAAACCAAACCAAATATGTAATTCCTTATTGGTGTGAAGTGGGGGAGAATGGATTTGGGGAAAATGACAAGCAGGACTTCAACTGTTCTTTTTTCTTTTTTTTTGGTATGTAAGTGCATCATATGCATCTAGTGTCCACAGAGGCCAGAAGTGGGCAACAGATCCCCTGGAACTGAAGTTATGGATGGTTGTTAGCTGCTCTGTGTGTACTGGGAACCAAATCTAGGTCCTCTGTAAGAGCAGCCAGTGCTCTTACTCACTGAGCCATCTCTGCAACACATCTTTTTCTTTTCTTTATTATTATTTTTGAGACAGGGTCTCATGTAGTCCAGGCTAGCTTCACACTCCCTATGTAGCTGAGAATAGTCTTGTACCTCTGATCCTCCTGCCTCCACCTCCTGACTGCTAGAAATGTAGGTATATGCTACCACACCTGGTTTATGAAGTGCTGGGGATTGAACCCAGGGCTTCCTGCATGCTAGGCAAGCATTCTACAAACTGAGCTACATCCTCAACCCAGGACTTCATTGTGAAAAGTTTCTTATTTTTTTAATTTTTTTTTTTTTTTTTTTTTTTT